AGGCGGAGGAGCTCGAGGAGGAGGGTTCAGTGGAATGATCGAAATGGGAGCAAGCTCGTCGAGGTTTTGGAGTTCCAGCCAAGGTTGGGTCTTTTTTTTCCTTCTTTGTATTGAAAGTTTTAGGTTTGGTTCTTCAAATTGACTGAAAAAACATCTGATATATGGGTTTTGGAATTAGTTCTTGAAATTGATGGGAAAATACTAACAGGTTATTGGGTCAAAAATTTCAAGTTTTAACTGTACTTTGGTTAACCCTTAATTTAGAGGGAAATTTGGTCTTTTTTAAGTTGAACTGAGGATAAAAGGCGATTTATCTCATGTGACATCTCAAGCAAAATGAAGAAGCGGTGGTCTTTAAGTGCTAGTACAATAGTCTAGGGGAACAAATGGTGACACTAATGGGGGGATTTTTGCAGCAAAAGCATTCGCTGCGCAAAACTTTTTAACCAACAAAACAAACATAATTGTTGCATCTGATGTTTTGACTAGTTTTTGTGAATTTGGCTTTGTCATTGTCCTCTTCCCTCTTAAGATTTTGATCTTGGGACTCTTCTTTCGATGATCTCAATACCTGTCCTGGTACCCGTATCCCCAAACATTGGTACATGTTGTGTTCAGGTTAAAAGTTTGCAACTTCCTGTACACGAGGTTGAGAATCATCACAACTGATGGATTTGGTCATTGAACTCATCCTGACTTGTGGTATCAGCTTATGAGTGGAAGGAAGGACAATTTCGCAAGCTCCTGAGATTATGTCCTATCGTAAATGACAATGAGAGAAAACATGGCCTTTGAAGCCATTTATTTCTTGCTGACTTAGATCAAAGAGTGAGTTCCCTTAAAATTAGTCAAAACATCTGCAAGCAAGTCTGTTGATTTTGCCATCAGCGGAAGATGAGATAGTATTTCAACAGCCATCAGTCAGAAAGCTAAATGTGCCCAAATCCTTGTATTATTAAAATCTCTCTTGCACAAGTGACATTTGTTGTGGAGAGTTTGTACAGATGCCTGCAGTTGATGAAGGTTTATTTTTTACTCTGCAAAATGACTGTTGGTCTAATTGAATTGTATTTAGGAAATGTCTTTAATATTGATATTTGCATCCTTCAAAAATCTAGAATATTTTTCTTGGATTTCTAAAAAATCTTGGGTTATTCTAAGGTGTACATACTTTAATTTTAGTCATCTTAGTTATTTGACGCAACGCGGAAGTAATAGCCTCAGAATCCACCAAGAGCGTTCTTTGAATCCATAAAGAACAATCTTCGAATCCACGAAGAACTTCGAATCCACGAAGAAAATATCGAAAAAAAGAAATTTTATTGATCAAAAATTATTATCCTTTGGGGTTACATGACTCTTCTTAAATAGAAAAAACAAATAAGACTCCTAGTAAGACTAAAATTACAAAAATAGAAAGTATCAAATAAGACTCCTAGTAAGACTAGAATTACAAAAAAAAAAGTGTCAAATTCTATCCTAAAAAGACTCCTTATAATAGAGGAAACAAATCATGAATCAAAATTGATTTTGTTTCCTAATCTAATTTGACTCTAAAATTGAATTTATTTCCTAATCTATATTTTCTAATATATATTTCCTAATCTAAATAGACTCTAACTCAGATTAAGCGTCCTACATCAGTCTCCCTTTGTTGAAAGAAGCTCGACCCCGAGCTTATATTTGTTAGAATAGAAGCTTCATTGATAAATAATTTTCTTCTCTTGCAATGATTAGCATCCGCCTTGTATTTAGTATTGATTTTCTCCATTTGTTCTTTTACCTCCTCTGCTAGGACTTCTTTTGTATTTAGTATTGATTTTCTCCATTTGTTCTTTTACCTCCTCTGCTAGGACTTCTTTTGTATCAAACTTGTGTATGAATCTTTTCCATTTGTTCTTTTACCTCCTCTGCTAGGACTTCTTTTGTATCAAACTTGTGTATGAATCTTTTTCATGATAAGTGTATATAACTGACAGCATGTGGCTCTGTAGTTGACATGAAAAACTCATCCAAAATTTTTCCTTATTGCTTCCCATATTCTAGTGTCGATGATATCATCTCACCATTGTTGAAATTATTGATGACTATTGCTTCTAAAAAATAATTTTCTTCCTCATACTTCATACACAATTCTTTCATCTCCTTTATCTCAAGCTCTCTACCAAGCAATGCACACATACCATCAATTGCTTCGCTCTTTATTTTATCATTCTCCTCCATCGGGACAATATCAATATGTGTAACATCACACACAATATCATGTAGAATATTCATCTTCATTAACATATCATCATCAACATTAGGAACCTCAGGATGAATCTTGATGGTTGCAAAATCTTCCTTTCTAGGGGTGAGCGTTTTGTTGTTTACCACTAGAGAAACCTTCTCCTTAGCAATCTCTGTCTTAAATGTCTTCGGTTCTATGATTGACATAATTGATGAAGTCTTTATTGGTGCTTCATCGGTGCTCTTCACAAATCCAGACTCTTTCTCAGAGATGAATTGAGGTTTTTTAATTTTTTCATAATCTCAACTAGTTTGATAACCCTCTAAAAACATCCATGATAAAGGTCGTAAGTCGTTTTGCTCAAGTTCTTGCTCCACCTTCTTCGTTAGATTGACCGTAGCGGCTAAGATAAAAGAATCTTTTAAAGACACCTGTCATTACTTGTAGTTAGAAGGTAAGAAACGGTCTCTCAATAATTTCTTTATTTTTTCCCACCTTTTGACCTTCGACTTTCCTTGACGAGATTGACTCAGACAAACAGATTTTCACCAAGCTGAAGCTCTACCTTTGAGTCGGTAGGCCACCAATTTTACCTTACACTCTTCTGGGATCTCCATATACTCAAAGAACCTCTCTACTTCTGCAATCCAGTCGAGAAATTCTTTGATATGAAGTTGCCCGTTGAAAGATGACAAATCCATCTTCATCTTGAAACCTCTAGCGTTATACTTTTTCCTTCGTTGACGGTCTCTGCGATAAACACCACGGCGTGGGGATGCATAGTTATCTTTCTCGCTGTTGGATTCATCATATGGAGTCAGTGGAGTCGGATCACGTCGTTGGCGACCATCAACACGATTTTAAACTCCCGCCGTGTTCTGATGCTCCACTGCCGATGCAAGTCGTTCTATGGCAGTCTTCATCTGATTAAACCGATCTTCAGCACGTCGAACTCAGTTCGAGAAATAGGGGCTTCATCACCTGCCATCAGATCGGAGGAACAATGCTCTGATACCAATTGACGCAGCGCGAAAGTGATAGCCTCGGAATCCACCAAGGGCGTTCTCTGAATCCACAAAGAACAATCTTCGAATCTACGAAGAAAATATCAAAAAAGAGTAATTTTATTGATCAAAAGTTATTATCCTTTGGGGTTACATGATTCTTCTTAAATAGAAAAAATAAATAAGACTCCTAGTAAGACTAAAATTACAAAAATAAAAAGTATCAACTAAGACTCCTAGTAAGACTAGCTAGTAAGACTAGAATTACAAAAAAAAGAAAGTGTCAAATTCTATCCTAAAAAGACTCTTTATAATAGAGGAAACAAATCATGAATCAAAATTGATTTTGTTTCCTAATCTAATTTGACTCTAAAATTGAATTTATTTCTTAATTTATATTTCCTAATCTAAATAGACTCCAACTCAGATTAAGCGTCCTACATCATTATTGCATACCATGATGAGCTATATGGATTTTCTTTTAGATAGGTAAAGATGTAATTTGTATGGATAAGTTATCGACAGTGACCAAAGGGGCTAATCTACTACCAAGCAATCAAATTCCTTGCTAAATAATGGTTTACATAGATCATCTTTTATGCATTACATTCTATACAAGTACAACTCTTATTGCCTGATTGGCCACGTGACACAACAGTGTGGTGAAACAATGTGGATTCACTTCATTTTCGTGATTTCTTCTTTGTTTGGCTGATTTTCTCTAACAAAGATAAGCTCCTGTGGTATCTCTTATTGAAACCTCTTACGTATTGAACTTGCAAGCAATTCTCTGCTAATCTTTTACTGTTGGACTCTATTTTCTTATACAGTTTAATGTACTTTGGCATATTCCAAAATTTTGTTGTATATTGCTCTTATAACATCACTTCTACCACCCAAAAAGTAGCTGGAACTGAGCAAAAAATAATTGTGGTAAATTTACCTAAGTCAACTATACAAAGGTTCGGGCCAATTGCCTTTTTTGTTGGACAGTTGTCTGGAATCATACTTGTCAAATAACCCTTGATGTTATCACCTCTGAATAATCATCATTCATCCAGTGATTAAAGACTATAGAGACCTGAAGTACAGTTTAAAGCTTTGATTAGAGGAGACTCCAAAGAAGTGGTGGTTTACATTTCTCTTTTACAAATATCTCATTTATGTATGCAATCCTGTGTTTTCTATGTAAAAGTCCACACATTTTTGCATTAAACATGACTTGATGTTCATTCACAAATGATGTGCATTTTCTTCTGTGTGCCTAAGCAATTACAAATTCATGCCGTGAATAATAAGTAAAGTTTGTTTAATAATATTAACTATTACGCGAACTACTTGGAGGCAATTCTGTATAAGGCTTGATTGCAGTAGAAGGGCTCACAGGTTCAAGACTTAAGGACTTTAGAAAAAGAGGAAATCCCTCCCTCTAGAAAAGGGTGAGGTCGTATTTCACACATTCACCATCCAAAATAAAGAAAGAGGGGGAAAAACTTTGTCCAATTCTATATTTGTAGATGTGTGTCTTGGTATCAGCTTGTGCATGTGACTGCATTTGTATATTATTATGCAATCATTTCTCAATATCCTACTTATTTGAGAAATTTCTGTGTTACTATACATGTGTACTGTTGCCTCCATGTATCTTAGGCGCCACATGCAGGCTCCTAAATAAGAAGTGACAGATGTTTTCTGCATTCATTTCCTTTTTGGGTTAAAAATAATTTAGTGGAAATTGGAGAAGTTTGTGGGAACTGTACTTAAATTTTCCTATAAGAATGTGAACCTATGGACACACAACAAGCATCTCATGAATGGTATAATTTGTTTCAAAGACCTTATATATATTCTACATATCTTTGCAACAAGATGTAAGTACCATCTGGTGAACATTTTGTTTTTTGACATCTTAATTAAAGCTTGCAAACATTGAGGTCTTTTTCCCTATACTTTGTACTCTGTAGATATATCATGTGGGTTTTGCTATTTTTTGTGACAGCGTATTGTAACTTCTAAACTGACAATTGGTAGGAACAGTTCATCCCTTACTTTCAGTCAGTGGTTGTTAGGCTTATTTTTTCTATTAAGCTCCAAAAATGAGTCCTTTTAACTAATCGATCTCTTATTCTTGGACTTTGTTTCCAGCGATTCAAGCGACTCAGAAGACGAGTATGGAGATTCTTGTATCTGTACTATAATGTAGGGATCTCTTGTGTATATCAACGATGCATCTGCTATTGTCACAGGTCCAGCTCCGGCGACTGGAGCTGGAAGCATTCAATTGCTGTTTGCATCTATAACTTATGCTGCCATGGAGACCAAAGGTCTAGCTCATGAAGCAGTGAGACAAAAATCATTACTATTGAGGTGACACCTTCTCTTTTTTCTTCTTCCTTTTGTTTATTTCTTAGAAGTTTGATACCTGAAGAGCTTCTTGAAGGTGTCATTTCAGATTAACTGATACAAGGGTAACTTGTCATACAACTTTCAGACTTCATTTTGAGCTTTTGGGCAAAAAGCGTGACTTCTCACTGTTTTTTATGTGTGGTTTTGTATTATTGAGAAAAATTCACAACTTTCTCCTATATTTGAATTGTACACTGAAAGTATAGTTAGGCTTACAGGCATAACATTTGATTTCAACAACTCTATTATGGTGTATTTATTGTGTATCATTGCTTTCCACTTTGATAATAATGCTATTTGTAACTTAAACTAGATCTGATAGCTTGGTTTTGTAATGCTTTTTCTTCATATGGTCATATTATACTTTCTCAACTAATGACTTTTGTAACTGATGACTTTCTCTGTATCTGCAAACTAGTACTTGGTTTTGCCTTGAGTATTGTAAAAGAAATATGTATACTTAGAATTGTTGGCGGGAAAGCACCAACAAATTCCAGACATACAAAATTTGGCATGACCCTTTTCTACAGCGGAAAGAATTGCTGAGTGTTGTGTTTTATTATCAGTGTTACCTTTTACCATTTTGTTCTTGAGTTGATGTTTATTGTTTTCAAGTTCATGCAATATGAATTATTTATTAAATAATGCATAAATGTATGATGTGTCATTTTCCACCATACAAGTGAAATTACCAGTATATGGTTTGATAGACACCTTGGAATGTCTCACATCCATTATCCTTTGTTACTAGGAAGCATCGCGCGACCTCATCTGATATAGTCAAAATACATTTTTGATTAAAATGCACTCTCCTTATCTTTACAATGATGATGTTAAGTGAAGTCATTCTAACTGCACACGTCTACGCTCAATTTAATTTATCTAACTACACACATACATTATTGTACTACATCCAAATTCATTTGTCGTTGCAAAGTTTGAGATAGTTCCTAGATTTTAAAAGTTTATTACATGATATACTCAAAATATATTGTGAGAAACATCAACAATACCATTCCTAAAATTTATTGTAGAGTGATTATGGATGGCATGGGCTATAAAGCACCAAAAGGGGAAAAGAGAATATAAGCATGTCTATCACAATACAATTAAAAGCCTTATGCTTACAATTTGGGAGCTGGATTGTTTATTGTGCAGGTCTTTGATTAGGCACATGCACACATCTGGCATTGTTACCTATCTTCAAGCATCTCGAGCATTTTTGTTTGTTTGTTTGTGACCATACTCTATATTTCCTTATCTTATTTTAAAATTAGAGCATCACACCTCTTTGTCTCTCTAGAACCAGGTATTGGAAGAATCATGTACTTTTATAAACCCTCATGTATTATTCTTCCTCTTTGGATACATATGGATGCACAAAATCTTCATGTGACAGGTTCTGATATGTTTCCTTTCTCCAACTGCATTCTACCTCTTTTTCTGACACGTTATTGCGTAAATTGTCACATTTGGACCTGTCGCTAAATGAAAAACGTTGACCATGTGATAATAGAAGGTTCCCTTTGTATGATTCTCTGACGTTGGCATGTAAGTGTCTATAACAAGAACATATATTAAATCGATCTCTACTAAACTAGCCATCTCAACATG